AAAAATGGAACAACAGCCTTAACATTGCTGTAGCAATTTTTTTATCTCTTGCTTAAAGCATCTAATTCCACACAGGCTACAACATAAAGAACAAGCATGCACAGCCATCATTCAGACAAACAAGGCAGAAAAACACACAAAAGTATCATCCTCAGCCACCTTCGGACACCCCTCCAAAAAAGCTAGCTTGTTTCCATTGTATGTGCACCATTCAGGCCTTCTTTTATGGCACTACTATTTTTTTAAAAAAAACACACATTAAAACGAAGGCTTCTCCACGACCCATATTCAAACAAATCTTTATATATACGGTATAAACTGCGGGTCCAGAACTGAAGGACCCAAACCACGTGGTAAAAGCACTGAACATAGGAGCTCTTCGAGTCAACAAAAAAATGACGAAGGTTGATACAAATAGATTCTTCTTTGTTTTTATGCATGCTCATTCTGCTTAACATAGCTATGTTTAGGGTCATATTCTTTTGTCTGCAAGCGCCGATTCATATAGCAGCGAACTTGAACTGTCTTTGTTATTCCGAGAAGACGTATCACGTCGCCTCTTTTTTTGGTCCTCCTCGTAGACCTGTTCTGTTGCCTACAAACAGGCCGCTTTAGAGGCCTTAAGATGCCTGCAAAGTATCTACACGGTTTTGCCACAGTAGGTTATAGCTTCCATAGGCTGCTTTTGTATACGGACATTGTTCAGCACATCCTTTCCCTGGCAAATAGAGGCGTTCAGCCGCACGTATGGTCTCTACATCTTCACAGTACGCACGAACAGATAGTTCATGACACACCCTCTCTGATTTCCTCGTTCTGGTCCCAATTACTATATGTTCTCTTTTTTTTTTGCCATGATTTGTACCCTCCTACCACCGCTCTCATAGTGATTTCTTCTTTAAAGTACATATTTCAGCCGGTTACAGATAAAGATTTTTCATAGTTAGATGATATGCTTGGGCTGATGAAATTGTTGTTTCTGCAACGTACTGACCATCTGGCATTGGAAAATCTTCAAACTACGCCCATTGGAAATTAGTATTTGGAACAAACCCTGACATGTGTTGCTCAGTTTTGTACTATTGTTTCATCGAACCTGTTTGCACTCCTAGATAATAGAACCTACGCCTACAGTCTTTTCCTATTCAAGTTCTAACTTACAGACTATCTATGCCTTTTTCCCTCCATATCATAGTGTCTGTAATTGGCTCCAAGTAGACAGAACATGTACAACCATGTCTGGGTGATGCTTGTTCATATAATTACAGATTTAATTTGCCTTTCTGCTTACCTAATAACAGCAGTTACACAGTTTGAATGACTGCTTTTTCCCAGCCACAATTCAGGAATATTATAAGGCTTTCCTTTTATAGATAATTTCCTTTTTATTCCTCTTCTCATCTTGCAATCAGTTAAGATTATATCATTGATTTCTCTTCTAAACTGTCGCATTTATTTCTAAGATATTATTCGCTTGACTACTTTCTGTAGGCTAATCACACAATCTATCAGCCCACGACATGGGTTCTCTTTGGTATACGGTGTTGTTTAAATATGCCATCCCTAGCAATTCAAGTTGCCACCTGCTCTGATCATTTCAGCTCCAGCAGATTCTGAATGATCAGGTTTACATCCTTTTCTCTCTAATCTAACTCTTTGTAAGTACAGCCTACAGTTTTTCCCAACTTAAGTTCTGATTTACAGATTATTTATGCTCTTTTTTCACACCAGAGTGTCTGCAGTTGCCTCCAAGTAGAGAGAACAGTTACAACCATGTCTGGGTGATGCATGTTCATCTACTTGCAGATTTCATTGGCCTGTCTCCTTACCTAAGAACATCAGTTAAACACTTTGAGCAACTGCTCTTTTTTCATACACAATTGAAGAATATTATAAGGCTTTCCTTTTATACATACTTATCTCGGTATTCACTTCTCATTTCTCTGTGAACCGTTACAGCCATGTCTGGGTAATGCATGTTCTTATACTTGCAGATTTCATTTGCCTGTCCGCTTACCTAACAACAGCAGTTAGACACTTTCAGCCTGTTCGCTCGTTGGTTTCGTCAGGGCTTATCAGCCAGCCAACAGTGTTTTCCTCTCACAACAAACTAACACCAGTCGAGTTTATCAGCCTAGAAATCAACCAGCGAACAAGCCGTTTGAATGATTGCTATTTTTTCCATTCACAATTCAAGAATATTATACGGCTTCGCTTTTACCTACTTCTCTCCGTATTCACTTCTCATTTCTTTGTGAACTGCGTCTTGCTCACTTTAACTACAAATCCTATTCATTTTGTTCATTTATCTCGGCGATTAGCTTTTACATATTACTTCATTCTGCATGAACACCATAATACAAATTCAAAAAATTGGAAACCTACCGTTATCCCTTGTTGTGAGAGAAAAAAACATAAGGTTATATTGTGTTTACGCTATTTTGAACCTCAATTGTGATTTTACTCATATTTTCTTCTACTTTGTGTTTTTAAAAAGCGAAGTTTCGGTTTACCCCTACTCCGTGAGCAGCAAAAAAAGTTGATAGATGACAAGTTAGCAAGCGAATATTGCGTTTTGCCCTATTTCAAACCCCAATTGTGATTTTACTTCTTTCTTCTTTGTGTTTTTACCCTTATTTTTTCACTTCTCCGTTTACCCCAATTCTTAACTCACTTCTACATCGGATCAAAGCAATTAAAATTAACAAAAAGCCACAGTGAAAAGATAAACCTACTCCTTGTCTCTGGTCTCTCTCTCGAGGTGCGTCCCTCTCCAGCTGGCGCCAAATCCTATTCATATTGTTCATTTATCTCAGCGATTAGCTTTTCACGAGAGGCGGCCAGGAGATAGCAGGTTTTGTCTTTTCACTTTTACTTTTAATTGCTTTGATTTGGATGTAAATAACCGAAAGTTAAGAATTAGAAAACAAAAGTAGGGGTAAAACAAAAATGAAAGAAAGTGAGGTAAAATCAAAATTGGTGGAAACCTAAAATTATCCCTGCCTACGCGCGCGCAACTTTTTGAACACTAGTAAAAATTCGCTTTTGAAAAACAGGGTAAAAAACACAAAGTGAAAGAAAATGGTTCAAAATAGGGGAGTAGGCTTGGAGTCTCGGAGAAAGATAGAAAGCCAGTCCAAATCGGCAATTGCCCTGTTCTCTTGGCTGATAAGCCATGGCTGAAAGTATTGTTGACTGATTTTTTGTGAGAAAAAAATACAGTTCGTGAGTTGAAAAAGTACGGCAAAGCCGAGTGAACAGGACGAATAGCTGAAGCCAGTCCACATCGACAACCAGCCTCGGCACATGTACTACTTTACTACCTTGACGGCCCAGTTTCATGCGGCCTAGCTGAAGCGCACCGCCTGGAGCCAGCCGCTCAGCCGTCCGGGCGTGATGCAAAGGCAGAGCGGTGTTGCACTGTTGCTGCAGCAGCCTCTCTCTCTCAGGATCAAGAGCGCACGCGGGGATTAGTCCCACCTCGGCGCCGCAGGGAAGGCGCGAGGGGGCGAGACTGCTACATAATGCGGCCCAGGAGCAACGTCGCTCCATACTTACCTGGACGGGGTCGATGGGCGATCAACAAGGCCCATGGCCTAGATCAGTGGCCCACATCGCACTTGGTGAGTCCGCTGGTTTACCATCTGCCCAAGTGGCAGAGTGGACGTCGTAATTTGTGGTAGACGGGGGTACGCGTTCGCGCGGCCCCTGCCAAATCTAATAAATTAAATTAAATTTTAGTCGAACGCGTACCCCCTGCCAAATCTAATAAATTAAATTAAATTTTAGTCGTACAGTATTGAAAAAATTGACTGGGGTTCTGTGAGCAATAGCACCCTCTGCTTCCCTTTTTTCAGTGGTTTTTATTCTCTTATTATTATGGCATCCAATTAACCAGAGCTTGTTTAGCCACTCAGTAAAATAACTGTCACCTTATTAGAGTTGTATTTGACATGACACTCTCCGGCGAAGAGACTAATTCTCTCTTTGTTGGGGAGGGCCAACGATAGGCATACATGAGGACCGGCCCCTGGTCAAACAAAACTATCATGGACAGCTTGAGGACTTTTTTTTTGAAACGATGCATATCTAGTGTGCATCTGTCACAAAAAATTAAGATCCAAACCCAATCTAAAAATCATACAAAAATTACATTCCAGGTGCATCAACACCAGAAGAAAAATCATACGAAAATTTTGTCTTCTGGTACATATGCATCATATTATTTTCTTATGTTTTTCACATTAGTTTTCATCTCAAATTTTGTGGACACACATTTTTTTAGTTTTTTTTAAATCTCCTAAGTATGCTTTTAAGGGATTTTTATGATTCCATCCAAAATATGGTTTGTTCTAATTTTGGCCCAAACTCCGGTGTTAAGGATACGGGTGAAGTTGGAGTGCATGTAAGCAGAGAGGCTCCTTGCAGAGCCATGCCATCCTTGACCGACAGTCCGACACCATTGCAACATCAAATAAGGATTTACAAAAGTACTCCCTCCGTCCCTATTTAATGCCATTGAAGGATTTGTGCCAATCAAACTTTCTTAAATTTCATAAAAATTTTAAAAAATATTAACAACATTTAGATCTCTAAATAAATTTATTATAAAAAACCCTTAAATATGTTTGATTTCTCGGGAAGTGAGAACAGATAAAAAGAAACAGAGGGAGTAGCTCAAAAAGGACAAAGGGAGTAGCTCGTTGCGCTAATTAGGTCATGAAATCACTAATCCAATCCAAGCTCTTTAGAGACTTCCCTTCTTTCTTTCTTTTTTTTTTGCCAGAATCTACACTGTAGACATGATCTCATGAAAAAACGACGGGGAGAAAAAAGATGAGAAATTCAACTTGTCTAGTACCACGCTACATTTAGATTGCCATGTATTAGTTTCTTTTGATTTGACTTTCATAAAATCTAGGAAAGGAACGTCCAGGTACGGATTGACTTTCATAAAATCTAGGAAAGGAACGTCCAGGTACGGATTGTGTTATCACTTATCATTCGCTCTTCTTGTTCTTGGCATGATACTTCTCTATGGTAGAGAACCAATTCCACTGGAAACAGATTGCCGCGAACCGCAAGAGTCCAGCGCCTATCACCTCTATGGATGCCATAAACGGGGAGCTCTGCGGGGATAAACCAGCAGTGGCCGCAGCTAACAGTTCGCCCTCGAAATTGCAGGGGACAATGAATTTTGCAGATTTGATGCCATCCAGGGCCTTCTTGGCAACGTCATCGGACTTCATTCCGCCAGATGATCCTGCTATGATGTTTGTCAATTCTGTCCTGCTCTTAAGCTCTGAAATTAGGCAAACCACATTCTCAGCATTCATCAGTAACAAAATGTGTACTCAGTGTCTTCAGAACTTAGGATGCAAGGCTTAGTGAGTAGTGACAATTATTGCAGGTGAATCTGAGAAAATGATACTATCAAAACATGTAGTAATGAAACAAATGAGAGCATACTATGAGCCTCGCACTGAATGAAACAAATAAGAGTGTACTATAGCAGCATTTTTTGGTCTATGATTTTAAGTATACTGATTTACAGCCAAGTGTACGTGTGAAACCAATCGATTGCTGAGATCATCAGTTGCTGAAGTGAGTAATAAACAATATTTTCATTACAAGGGTAGCTCCGATATTTTCAGTTTTGCCAAGTTGAAAAACTAATATATCTAATCGAAGAGGATAACTCAGGCATTAGATGGTTTCACTTGTCAGTTGCTACCAAAACAGAGATGAACTAAAACTTAGTTGCCCAGGTCATAAGCAACTCTTACCCTTTTCCAACCCCGGAGTCTCAGTGTCAGGAGGGAATATCAACGAGACATGAATGTTGTGCGCGATGATCTCATGCTGCAACGCCTCACCCAATCCCCGAAGAGCAAACTTACTCGCTGAGTACGCGGCGTAACCATAGATACCAACCTGCAGCGCAGCAAAAAGAGAGATCAATCTCCCAGGCTCCCAAGCTAGCAGCGGCACATCGAACACCTTAGCTGCATGGCAGGCAAAGGCAGCCAACAACTTCGCGCAGCATCATCTACCTACCTGGGCGGCCTGGGAGGACATGATCGCGATGGAGCCAGGGAGGCGCGTCTCGCGGGCGCGTGCCTTCATGGCGGGGAGCGAGGCCTTGACGAGGTGGATGGTGCCCATGAGGTTGGTGTCCACCATCCACCTGATCTCATCCATGTCCTGCCTCTCGAGCTCCTGCGACACGAACACGCCGTGGTTGCAGACCAGCACGTCGACGGGGCCGGCCTCCTCGAGCGCGCGCGCCACGGCGCCGGCGTCCCGCACGTCGGCCGCGTGGACGCCGACGCTGACGCCGTCGTCGCGGCCCGAGTCGCGCTGGATGGCGGCGCGCGCCTCCTCGAGGCGGGCGAGGTTGCGGGACAGGATGGAGACCCGCGCGCCCTCCCGCGCCGCGGCCCTGGCCATGGCGAGCCCGATGCCGCTGGACCCGCCCGTGATGAAGACGTGGCGGCCTTTCAATGGTATCCGCGCGGCGTGGGGCCGCGTGAGGAAGGCAAGGATGGCGAGTAGGCCGACGGGCGGGATCAGCAGGAGGAGGAGCGCCGCGGCCATGGCGATAGGAGCTACTTCTGCTAGCGGGAGTTGGGGGGTTTAAAGGCCTTGAGTGCAGGGATGGCAGCGTAGATTACGACGAAGTTAGCTCCGGGTTTAGATTTTAGTCATTTTCACTCGACTGGAGAAGTCTTTCTTAAACATTTTAGAGAACCAACTTTACTTTCTGTTTTTATGCACCGTACAATAACTCTTGTATATCTTATGCATATTTCAAAGAGCCAACCTCATCTTTTATTTTTGGTAAACGAGAAATCAAAAATAGATGATAATATCTTGATATGTAGTTGAAAAAAATGTTGGAGGAGTTTCTGTCGATACGGATATAAGGAACTGTTGAGCTTCTTTTTTTAAGGCTTTCTCGTCCTGTCTGCTGACACTCTCTTGTGTTCCAGCTTGTTTGTATGAACTCTTTTTTAATTAATTTATATTTTCAGTAGGGGCAAAAAGCCCCTCCCGTTCTTTCAAAAAAATGTTGAGCTGCTGTCCAAATCAACAATTTACTCCGATGTTGAACTGTTGAAATTTAATAAAGAAAATGTTGAGCTGCTGTCCAAATCAACAATTTAATAAAAAAACTGTTGAACTGTTGAAATTTTACTCCATCCATGGACCGTTGGTGGGCGGAGAAAGCGAGTAGGAACTAGGAACATCAAACATGGCAAGTCGGTAAAGAGGTTCAAGACACGAGCAAGGGTCATGCGACACCGCACCCGCTACCCGCAACTGCGCTGCTTCAGAATTGTGGTTGTGATCGCGGGAGGTGACAGCTAACACCGCCGGGAAGTGGGAACTGACCAAAGGATCTCGGAACAACCACAGATTCCCTGTAGTATTTAGATCCGACCCAAACCACCAGACGAGGAGGAGGAGATTTTTTTTTAATTTGAACATTTTTTGAAAACTAATTTTAAATATAACACTGTCTGTTTTTTTTTCAAAACAAACACTTTTAGCCACGCCTATTGCCATGGCGCGCCATGCATGCGCGCCATGCATGGTGGTGCGGCAGGGGGCTGACGTGGCGACGACCGGAAAAGTTGACGGTTGACGTGGCAGGGCCTGCCGCGCCACCCATCTTGGCGCGGCACGGAGCATGGCGCGGCAGGGCCAGATAAATATCGCGAGCGAGCCCGCCCAAGCCGCCATCCGCGCCATCCCGCCCACGCCGCCAGCAAGTATGCTTCATCACATCCAAAGGTTTCTCACTCACGCCACACCGCCAAGCCATACGACGGTCGCTCGCATTACGCACGCCACATCGCCCACCCCTTCCATTGCCAGCGCTCGTGCTCGTTGCCCGCCATTTGACGCCGACGCATCGAGGCCGCCCGCTCCTACCAAGGTACCCCCTCTCGATTTCATGCTATTTTGATTATTATTGATTTAGGATAATTAGTGATTTAGGATAGTTAGTGATTTATGATAGTTAGGGTTTTACGATTGTTATTGATTTATGATAGTTAGTGATTTAAGATAGTTAGGTTAGTGAATTTGTTTGTGATTTAGGTAGGTAGTTTTTATGTTTGAGGTTGTGTGTTGTAGTATAGTTTGGATAGTTAAGTATTTATTATTTAGTTTATAATTAGTTATTTAGTTATTTAGTTTTTAGGTTTGAGGTTGTGTGTTGTAGTAAGAAGTTTTGTCAAATGCTTATATTTCTAGTGAGGTTGTTTAATATGTCTGTTAATATTACTTTGAATATATACATGTGCTTTTATATTGTGTTCGTATTGCATAACAAGTAGTTCAAATTTTACAATCCTACATAATGTTAATTTGAATTTTGTTAATTTGAATACTCTAACCCTTTGTTTATCAATTTATAACAGGATGACCCCTCCCACGCAGCACCCGTTGTACCCCATTCTTGAGGTGGAGTATGACAATCAGCACCGAGCACACATCTTGAGTGACAACGACGTAAAGGTGGCCTTGCCTCCTTTGAGACCCCGCATGCACACCAGGGTGCACCAGTGGGACGAGCGTTATGCGCCGTACATACGACATGCCGGTTTTCTCGAACTTGTCCGTGTTGTCAACTGACGGTCTTCCGTCCCTTGACTCAGCACTACTTACTGCAGCTGTAGATAGGTGCGAGTGTCTTATTTATACGTAAACATTCTTGTAACAAATTTGAGGCAACTAACAGTCGTTCTATTCTTATAACATGTGGAGGCTTGAGACGCACACGCTCCACATACCTTGTGGCGAGATGACCTTGATCATGCAGGACGTGAAGGCTATTTTTGGTCTTCGGTTGGGGGGACTTCCAGTGACAGAGATAGTTGATAATGATCACTGGAGGGAGCTGGTGGCTCAGTTTACTGGCTTTCTTCCACCGGACGATGAGGCTTCCAAAAAAATAAGTGAGAAATTCAAGGCTATTTAATACTTGCATTGTTTTTCTGTAGCCATCGGGTCTCATTTTCTTTGGTCAATTTTAGGAAAAGTTTTGGTGTTTCGTTGTCCTGGATCACAGAGCGCTTTGATTACTTGGACCCACAGGCTGAGAAGGCTCAGATCGACAGGTTTGCTCGAGTGTGGCTCTGGCACTTTCTTGGTGCTTTCCTCTTCCCAGACGCCTCGGGCAACACCATCAGCTAGATCTTCCTTGACATACTATGCCAGCCGTGGAAGAATATAGCGGCGTACAGCTAGGGCGACGTAGTCTTGACATGGACGTATCGATAGCTATGCGTTGCCTGCCGTCATACCTCAGGGTATGCGAACCTTGGGGGTTGCTCGTACCTACTCCAGGTTTGGTGTTGGGAACGATGGCTTGTTGGGAGGCCCCTTAATACTGGATTTATCGTTAAGTATTTCGTTCATTATATTCTTCGATATGGTTACATATGATGAGTTTATTAATGGTTAATTCATTATCGTGTTCAATGCAGCAATGGAACGGGCAGGATACACTCCCTACAGCTCTGTATGTCTGGACGGAATCAGAGTTAGTTTGAGGGAATGCGAGGCGCAAGTACAGGGAGTACACGGACGATCTCGATGTCCTGACACAGCACCAGGTTACGCTCTCTTTACTATCATACATATGTCTTGTTCGATGTACACTATATCATAGCCTAACTCAATTATGAAATGTTCAAGTGCATTGGTGTCTTTGGGATGCTCCGGAGCTCTAGTACTATCTCAGTCCTGTCACTAGGGACGAGTCAGAGGAGTATCGCTGCAACGTCCCTCTTATTTTCTTCCACATGGTCGAGATTCACTTGCCCATCAGGGTCTGCAGATAGTTTGGATGAATGACAGGCTGTCCACCACCGCTTTACTCCACCAACCAAGGATTGCACGGGTGCGTTATCGATTAATAACAAAGCTACAATTCAGATGTGTGTGTGGTACAACTAACATTGTTTTGTTGTAGGTATGACCGTAGAAAGAGGTACAAGACCAAGGATTGGCGCGTGACACACAACGCGCACATCCACTTGTGGGAGACCAGGGAACGACAGCCGGTCCATGCGGGTCCTCCACACGACCAGTACACCTTTGACGAGTACCTATGGTGGCTTCACAGGTCTACGAGGACACATATCAAGCCCCCGTACACTGAGGAGGTGATTGACAAGGACTCAGAGGAAGATGTGATCGAAGATGTGTACGACGTTGCCACTAGAGAGGACACACAGCTACAGAGAGCCCCGTTACAAAGATACATGGTAAGATACTTGAATGGTATAATTTATTATCCATTTGGTATTAAGTATGTATACTAAAACTGTTCAACCGCGTTTTTGTACCCAGGCGACACAATTGTCGAGGCTGTCCAACGAGCAGCGTTCTGGCTTCACGAGTCTAGAGGGCAGGGGTTAGGCGTTCTCGAGGCTTTTGTGGAGGTAAACATAAACTTGTTCGTTCCGAAAATGTTTCTTTAGTGTATATGCGTTTGGGAAATACACTAACTTTAACGTCTATTTATGCAGAAGGTGAAGAAGAGCTGCAGGAAGCTAGCTCAAAAGCTGAGTTGCATGGACACTCCTTATGAGGAACCGCCACTCCGGCGCGGTCGGGTGGCACGTCTTTAGCCTCTTTAAGGACACCAGCCGGCTCTTCTCAACCGGTGACAGATGCCACTTCCGCGGTGCGTACACCACCACATCATAGCGTTGGGAAGGACCTTGCAACCGAGGACGACGATAATGACGATGACGACCCCCGGGCTTCCGCAGACAGCACGACCAGTGGGACGATTAGCCGCAGGACGAGATCGACATGTGTCAGCTAGGTGGTGCTCCGCTTGGTACCCAAGTGAAAGGTCCTAATGGCTAGAGGGGGGGTGAATAGCCTAATAAAAGTTTCTACAACAACACTTAGCAAACCGGTTAGACAATTATAAAGCGAAGCAAGTGTTGCGCTAGCCTACCAAAAATGCAAGCCACCTACCACAATTCTAGTTGATATAGTTTCAATCCACACAATAGTTATGTCACAACGCTAAGTTAGTGTGCTCTCAAAGGCTAACTAAAGAGCCACACTAACCAAACTAACAAGCTCTCATAACTAGCTACACTAAAGAGTTTGACAACTAGTTTGCGGTAATGTAAAGAGAGTGAGCAAGATAGTTATACTGCCGTGTCGAAGAATGAACCAATCAATCACAAGAATCAATAGCAATGAAGACCAATCTCCTCGGAATTAAATGATGAACATAATGATTTTTACCGAGGTTCACTTGCTTGCCGGCAAGCTACTCCTTATTGTGGCGATTCACTCACTTGGAGGTTCACGCGCTAATTGGCATCACACTCCAAACCTTCAATTGGGTGCCGCATAACCAACACAAGATAAGGATCACACAAGCCACGAGCAATCCACTAGAGTACCTTTTGGCTCTCCGCCGGGGAAAGGTCAAGAACCCCTCACAATCACCACGATCGGAGCCGAGACAATCACCAACCTCCACTCGACGATCCTCGTTGCTCCAAGCCGTCTAGGTGGCGGCAACCACCAAGAGTAACAAGCGAATCCCGCAGCGA